AGTCTCTGGACTGTGGCCTGGAGCTCCTCCAGCTGGCGCGCCAGAGACCCCAAAAGGAAGCAGACCCCACATGGGGAGGTGGCCATGCTCCCGGGCCCCAGAGCCTGAAAAGGGCAAAGGCAGTCCCCGCAGCCAAGAGCCAGGGGCTCCGTCTGCATGGAGCCCGGAACAGTGGGCTCTGTCTGGGTGGCCATCTCTGAGGTGCCAGAGGAGGGGGCCTCAGAGCCCGAGGGGACCCGAGGGGTGCAGTGCGTGCCCATCCATGTCATGCCTCTGGCTATGGCTGGGACTATCTATCCTGGGGAGTTCGCAGGCAGGGTCTCGGGCCCTCCCGCACACCCTCCTGCGCGAACTCCATGCTAACTCACGCGCCGTCAGACAAGCACGCCTGTTTGCGTAGCCTATTCGCGCGGCTCCAGTCACGTGGCTCTCTGGGGGGCTGGGCGAAGTAGGGGCCTGGGCGGGGGCTTGACCCAGCCCAGCTCCAGGCAGCCACCTCCTCCCACTCAAAGAGGGGTTAACCCCTTCCCACCATGGGCCCCACTTGCCTCCAGCTGTGCTGGGGGTTAGCAGGGGGCTCCGCGGCTGCTGGTGGGTGTCTGGGGTGTCAGGGGGCCTTCGGGGGAGCGGGGTCACAGCAGGCTTTCACCTGTGCGTTTCTCACTGCTCCAGAGCCTAACTGGGGCTTTTTTTGCTATTGGCGGGCCCTTTTAAACTGAAGGGACCTCACACACATGGAGAATGTCAGACTGGAAGGGGACAAAGATGTCTAGAAAATCAAGTTGCAACTGGAGCAGCTCCTATCCAATCTGTTCACTAAACTTGGCATTGCATGTTAAAAGAAACCATGGGATGCCCCGAGGGCACATCAATCCCTTGTGTGTTGTTGGCTATAGGAACTGGTATATCCTTAATTGCACTAATCTGATGGGCTGTTGGAGTCAAAAGGTCTACTTACTCCTTTTTTTATCTGAAACAATCAGAACTCTGAACCTTGGGAGAATCATTCATCATTTGTTTCCTCTCTTGTAACCCCGAGTGGTTATTATACATGGCATACATATGAAAATATTAGTACTTATTTTTTCTAATTAACTAGTCCACTATTCTATCCTTACTTGGCAAGTCCATATTGATGTGATAATGAATCCATCATCTCTGAAGACATTGAAGATTTCAATGATCCCTCGAGAATAACCAAACAAGGAAATACTAGCATCTGAGACAGCCAGGTTAAATGTAAGATAATCCGTGGGTTGCAGGACTGCTCTCTGTTTACAGAGAACAAAAATCACAACACTGTTTCCAAGCCAAGACAGCCATCCTGAAAATAAAAAAAGTATATGCATGTTAAAGGGGGAAAAATAGTCAAGAAATAGCAGGGTACATAAATGCATGATGCCCATACACTGATGGAAGTTTTATTTAATTAAAAACAAAGAATACCAGATGCTTTTATTCCACTTGGATATGCCCTTTAAGTAGCTAGATAATGAGATACGTCAGCAGTAGGAAATTAACAAGTGAGTTACTTTGGCAATAAAGTAGACAGTCAGAAAGAGCTGGAGCTGGAGCTGGAGCTGGAGCTGTCTACTATGGTTATAACCATTGTTTCCAAGTATGGAGAATTTTCCTTGCTGACTGGACAGTCTCTCAAGAGATGGGATGCAGGAAGTACTTCTGAATAAAAATGGGGGGAGGCAGGATTGGAGAGACCAGAGACCAGAACTACTCTGCCGAAAAAGTATCAGCCTCCAAAAAGCATGTCATGTACAATCACTCTATAATGCATATTAACAGTGTGTTCAAGTGACCACTCAAAAGGGAAGCATTGCTTGTTTCAGCCAGAAAGTTGAAGTTGCTTTCTACAGAACAATCTATGATCTCCCTGAAACAATCACTCTATAGGAATATTCTTCAACAACACATGTTTTAATCCATTTGATTAGAACATCCTTATGAGTCTAATGTCTTTGCTTGGATTCCCAGACTAAGTGAACAAACCCTTGGAAACTGGAAAGCTTGATTTTTTATTTAGATAGAATGCTGTGTCCTTTCAGACAGTCACAGTATAGAGATGTCTGACATTCCACAATTTAATTAAAGACAAGGACATAAAAGAAGGATATTTGAATTTGCTGACAACCAGTCTGGCACTTGTATCAGGTATTTTAGGGTATTAGTCAGAACATAGTGTGGAGCATGGGTGACTCGTGCCTCCTGAGACTGGGGGGGGGGGCATAGTTTGTGGGTGGCAGCATCAGTGGTGG